ATAATAATTTTAAACTATCCAAACGAGTAATTCTATAACGATATGGATACCGTGCAAAGAAAACCAATATCGGGTCGATAACTCTAATTTTGTCAACTGTAAATCTGTTAGTTTAAGAAAATTATAGAAATACAAGCTTTTAAAAAAATGTCAACGAATTATTAAATTTAGTACTGGTTAAGGACAAAAAGAAAGGTGTCTTAACTATGGTGATTACTTTAAGTAGCTGGAAAACGAATATTCGTCCTATCAGCATTACTGAGTACCGTGGACTGAAACCCTATATTTCCAGTTTTCTTAATATTTCTTTTCCAAACTATCCTATTCTCTTCTGTCCAATCAAGTCTCCACACCAAATAAAACATTATAAACTTTCACTATACTATAATTAATTTAGATGTCTGAATGAACGAACACCGACCCATGTACATATATACTAAGTTACTAACATGTATTTTATAAAATTTCTCTGTTTAGAAGTACTACTTTTTGGATATTTGTATAACAAATCGATTTGAAAATTCAAATTATGATGGATATTATAGTTTAAGAATTTGTGCCTAATAATCTTTTATTACACGTACATATATTATAATCCAAATGTTGGGGAGAAGAATTTGAAGATTAATTACCCTCTTAATTAAAAAAAAAAAAATTTGGCATCAGTCAATGATATACGTTTGATAAATATTTGAATAATAGAAGCTAGTATAGGAAAAACATAACACACTAAGAAGTTCTCCAGCTACCTAGTGGTTTTTTTTATTATTAAGAAGTAACCTAGTGGTTTTAAAAGTTTGAGAAAAAAAAACCTCTCTGAACAAAAAGAAAGCATTTTCTCATTGTCTACAATTAGAATAACTTTCTATTTAAAGAAAATAAAGAAAATAAACAATAACCAACCAATAATATTCTCGGTAGATGCCAAAATTATATAAAAGCAGGTCATGCATCGACGTGTTTTGAAGTTTAGCATTGAACGTAGATTGGATTTTTATTATAAATAAACCATAGATAAGAAATTGTTCTGCCTTTGCCATTAATATATATCGGGATCATTGGGAAAAATGGTCTATACACTGTAATGCATAAATTACAATACATTGTAAAAAAAAAAAAAAAAGACTCCATATATAACAAATGATTTCAAACACATACACAAAACATCTAGCGAAAAACATTCAAGAAATTTCAAAAAATGTCACTTTCCAAATGTCATTTTACAAAAATGTCACACTTTTGAAATCTTTACAAAAATGCCACTTTTTCAAAATTATTTTTTCATTATATAATTTATGTTTGGGTTAACTATGTTATATTAGGGTTTAGTTTTGAGTGTTTAGGAGGTTTTAGGTGTCAAAACATTT